GGGAAGGGGGGGGACCAAACCCGCCTTGCGGAACCGCCTTACTGAGCCTCCCTCGAGAAGCAACGGCATCCTTTCTAGTTCAGTGAAGTCTGCCTTGCCTGAAACTACTGCCTTGGGTCCTTCTGGCAATTATTTTCTGCAGTTGGAGGTAGCGAAGCCAGGTCCTGCCTCTGTAAGACACAGGGGAACGTGGCTGATGGAAATGCGAGGCTTTGTTGCTAGGGGAGAGGTGGTTGCAGCTCAGCCAGCAAGAAGTATGAGAAATGGTTTCTACATCAGCTTTGGGTCAGAGCACAAAAGCCTCACTTCACAGCCCCCCAGCCACACAGCGGCTGCAGACAGCCCTGCCGGGGGGGACGGGCAGGGAAGGGAGTCCTTCGGACGAGGAGGATGACCAGCTTGTCCCTTGCTGAAGATTTATAGAAAAAGGCAGCAACGTGGGTTTTAATCGGTCGATGTACGGTAAGAAGGCACCGAGAGGGCATCCATAATCATGATGGGTAATTTGCATCACTGTGAAACCCTCACCGAGAGCTGCCCTGACGCTGCTGGAGCACAGGGAATGAGGCAGCAGCCGGCGGAGCCTGCCGTCTAAACAACGCGGCTTACGTGGGAGAGAGAAGCCGGATGAGTTTCTCTGATTTTTCTCTCCACCGCACCAATCTGGCGACAGAAGACAGCTGTTTAACAGCCAGGAGCTGCAGCCCAGTCTCCCCTCTAATGCCTCCCCCAGGTGACCATGACGGTGCTCAGACACCTTCCTGCAGTACACCGTCCCGGGTAGGTGTGCCTCGTGCTTTTCTGCTGGACTCTCTCAAAATGCCACTCACAAGGCAGCCTCCTGCTTCAGGCCCCCCAGACAGCGGGACCCACCTTTCGGTAGCACGGTGCGGTTCATTTTGCACAGATCCAGAAGCACACAGGGCTTGATTTCAGCATGATGCCATGATTCCACATTCACCCTGGATTCACACTAAATTAATCAGCTAAACTCGTCATTTCAGGGCCCAGCAGCAACTGTGCTGCCAGGCAGGAGCTGCGTGGCTGTGGTCTGTCACCATGCGCCGTCCCTCTGCGCAAGCAGCAGCAACTGTGCTGCCAGGCAGGAGCTGCGTGGCTGTGGTCTGTCACCATGCGCCGTCCCTCTGCGCACCCCCCCGCCGCAGGAGCACAGAAAAGCCTCTCCCATTTTTGTGAATGGAGAATGGCTCTGACTGGTGCCTGGCACAGGGACGACCAGTGCCGAGGACATTCAGGACGAGCAGCAGAAGAGCCTGTTACTGAGGTGAGTTTCAAAGGCTTTGACATTTCTGATGAAACATGCAGAATGTTCCCATTTACACTGAAAGGAGAGAAGCTTCAAATGCTTTCCAGCTCAGGCCAGTTGCAGGGCTGGTCACCGTATCCTGGCCAGTGAGGTCCCTGATGGACCAAAGCAGCGTGAGGGGCAGAGAGGGAGCCCTTTTCTTCTGCCTTCACCCACTGTGCTAATGGCTGGAAAACAGCTCCAAACTCTGACACAGGTGGCCAGACTATTGTGGTCTGGGCCAGGGACAGACCTTCTTAGGGACATGCTGGTGGCAAGACCACGCATTGGTCCCTTAGCCTCGAACTGTCAGAGTCCCCGGTTCATAGCACTGAGCTGCGGTGATGGACTGTGCTGGTTCCTGCTCAGAAGAACAGCTGGGATGACCACCCACAGAGGTGACCTGATAAAGCTGGGGCACACCTGCTAGCAAGAATTTAGCGTATTGCTCATGTCAGGAGTGGCAAAGGGTCCTGACATAGCAGAGACTTCATCCAGGTCCTCACTTTTCCCCCATCCCTGGCTAAGAATGACATCCTCCACTAGCTCCAGCTTCCTGATGTCATCAGAGCGGATGGAGCTAGTCATATAAAAACCACTGATGTGAAGGATGGGGTTCAGGGAGGGGGTGAATCAGACCATTGGCTTGGAAAATATGGGATGGAAGGAGATTTGAGGCCTCCCAGCCTCAGCCAGCGTTGAATCAGGGCCATTGTGCTGGACTCAGGCTTGGACAGCCGGGCCTCAAGAGCAAGGCAACTAAAGAGACTGCAGAACCCACACCCAGGATGAACCTGCACCCTCTGCCAGTGCCGACCAGCACTGCTTGCTGGCCTGACTCGCACGCATGGGCTGTACCTCAGCACTGGACACAGGACCAGAGAGGCAACACTTAAGGGGCAATCCTGGGCCAAACTGCGCTGTGGTGGCACTCACGGGAGCAGCCTGTGCATCTGGAGGTCAGCGGTGGGAAGTGCCCTGGGCTTAGCGCCTCCAGGGTCACTTCTGCAGCGCAGTATGGGCTAAGTCACCAACAGAAGTTGTGTTTCTGTTTGCAGCCTTTCACAAACAGCTGCAATTTGACTTGCTCTGGGTTAACCTCATCACGTGCACCAAGCTGTATTTTTAAAGCGTGCTAAATTGGCACAAGTCCCCTCCACAGACCGTCTTAAATCAGTTTCTTGGCACAGGCTAAATGAAAAGAAGCCACTTTACAATCTCCTAACTTCTGCACAGAGAGAAGACCTATGACAGAGATTATGCTTAAGCCTACTGCCACTTAATTTGCTTGGAAGCCATGCAGCTGCAGCAGTCTTGAGAAGTTCAGAGGCACCTAGTAGCGTGTACATCATCAGCAAAACGCTTGGGCTGAGCCTCTGCGTGCACACGCTGGACATCAAAACGTTATCAGCACTCTCAGAGGCTGGTGGTCAGGGATTAGCAAACAGTCAGAGGAGCTGATAACAAATTGCAAACTTTATAGCAAAGAGTGAGTTAATTCCAGGCTGTCGTTGCTGCCATCTGCACTTGCAGAAAGCCTTTGTCAGACATTTGGCAACCAATCCTCTTGAGCAGCAAAGGCAGCCGCCATCCCTTGCTATGAACTATGCAGCCCAGATTGTGAACTCTTTTCCCCCAGCAGAAATCACCCATAACTGCACCCAAGTCAGTGGATTTACTCTGGGACAAGAGACAAAATCTGCCACTTGGTTACAAATACAAAACACAGAATTTGATCAATTGTCTCATAAAATATCCTCTGTGTACACAATCATGCAGTAAAAAAGAAACTTTTCTGAGCTACAGATTTCTAGAAATAGTCCCTTCTAGGCTGCATGCCTTGGCTGGAAGTATTTTTGGCTTAATTAAAGGCTTTCAAACCTGTGGTGATGTCCATAAAAGCAGAAGCCCTTACAAACACAGGCAGGAATGAGATGCTGAGAGCAGTGAAAAATCTGTAGAGGCAAACATGTCTTCTCGCTACCTCTGAAAAGCAGATTTGCATGGTGAGTGCCGTCTGAACATATCATGCCCATATTTCAATGGCAAGCCTCCTCCTCCCAGAAACCAAGAGAACTTGGGAAGCAGAAACAGGCTTGGTGCTGCAGAGCCAGAGGTGCACAGCCAGGCATTAGATCCCCGACCGTTAATTCCTCTGCACATATCCCTGAACGAATGTGTGCTCAATTTCTCTCTCACAAAATGTCTCCTCTCCACACTTTTTGCATACACCAGCCTTGGCATGCAGGCAAGAAAATGTTAACGTCTCTGGCGAAAGTCTACAGCCCCTTCTTAACAACATGTGCAACCCATTTCTTCCAGCCCCAATAGTATTCTTCCACCCTGCTACTCCCTCCCCCCCACAGACACTTGTTTTTTTCATCCATAGCCACAGTCTCTCTTCCTCTTTTTCGTACAGTAAGGCACATTCCAACTGTCTCTGTTTCTTTGTCTCTGTCTCACACATACGTCTTGCTGGGCAGAGAGCAAATCAGCGAATACAAACTAGATATGGAAGCAGGGAGATACAAACACAGCCACAGTCTGGACTCCATTTTGGAGGGATTTCTAACTTGCCTGTAGGAGCGGATTTATGAGCTAGAGCATATACTTGTCAGCTGAACTGCTTGAAAGTAATTCTGCATTATCCTGGAGCTGGGCTGGTATTCGTCAGCAGGAGCTAAGCCATGGGGTATGGAAAAGAAGACTTCAGTTGCCTCTTAATATCTGAAGTCTACGAGACCCACACAGTTTTTCCTGCAAGAAGGCAAGGCTTGGTCTTTGGTTTTGGCAGATCAACCGAAAAGAACGGGGCAGCTGCGAACAAAAGTGAAGGACGTGCCACGGTACACAGGCTACGGGCCCACGTATGCCACAGTACTGAGTGATGGGTTTGTCTGCATCTGCAGTCACTGAGGAGGCTGGTGTGTCCCTTCTGTTACTGACTGCTCAGGGACAGACCGCCAATCACCAGCTCGGCCAGCTAAACGAGCAACAGCGCTGCTTGCTTCTGTGCAGTGCAGGGAAACGGAGCCAGGCACTGCTTTGTCCCTGTCACACCTTTCTGCAAGTTCCCCGTTGTCCAAAGGGTGAAAAAAGTCTTTCCTAGCCTGGGATTTCTAGCTAAATCCTCCTCTTTTTGCTGCTAAGTGGTGCTACTTACAGTGATGGAAGACAGCCTTGGCTGGAAAAGCGGCATGACACCACAGACACACCATGAAGATGGAACCACGTGACAGTTTCACACGATGGCAGCGCAGTGAAGAGATGAATTTGCACACAGCAGTCATGGAGGTGATGTGGGAGATGAAGAAACCACAAAAGTAAATGGCGATGAGCAGGGCAGCAGTGAGAACCCCCCCCCTCCCTTTTTCCTCAGACCTCCTTCAGCACAAACTAAATCAAACTGCAACCCTTTAGCACCCACAGCAACTCCCTGTAGGAACACCAGGTCCGTCTGTCCTCCAGAAAGAGCAGTCCTTCCTGCCCTGCCATAGGTGCTAGACTTGCTCACCGGACTCTTCCCCACCAACTTCTGCAGGGGCCATCCCCGTTCTCCTCATGTGTGTTAAGCAGCAGCCAGGGCCACACAGAGCAGGGCTGCAACTTCTACCACCATCTCTGGTGACCCTTTTGGGAGGAGTTGAGTGGGACCTAAACAGTACCCAGCCATGGGCTGGTTCTCTGACTAGAAGGTAATTTTGCTTTCTAAAAGTGACTGTTTCCGCATTCTGCCAGGAGAGTTCAGTGCAGAAGACTCAGCCCCACAGTTAGCAGGGAAGGTACCACTGTCCCCACTCAAAGCACCAGTAGTGCTGAATAATTAGTGAGGAGGTAATAACGGCACCCACATGGCTGCGCAGAACACTCCTCACCTTCCTTTTCGAGTCACCTCCGGGCCATTAACATCCCCCTGCCTGCGGGGCAGGGATGGGACTGCTGGATTTCAACCCAGACATACCCCTCCGCTGCACTTCGCTGCTCTGCAACACCGTGTGCCGTCATCTTCTCTCTTCCAGAGAGCATCCAGCGGGCAAGTGAAGACCCTCCATGCATTACTGAACCTTACAGGCTTCTTGCTAGCTTCCCGAGACCCGCACCAGGCTCTGCAGAGCCTGCTGCTCCAGCCCTGCTCTCTCTGTCCCGCAGGACCCCCTCAGGAAAGACTGGAAGGGAGTCTTTCCAACGGCAGGGCTTTACCGATGGTCTCTCTCACCCCACTGCATGTAGCATGGGGGTCCCTGCAAAGCAGAGCCTCCCCCCACCCCGGCAGTTACCCTGAGGAAAGCAAGCAGCGTGCTCCAAGCTCCTTACCCTGACCACTCTGGTGCTGTGGCAGCCTGAAGTAGGGGTGGGAGTGGGGGGAGATAGAGTGATTCCCTGGAAGCTGGATTCCAGGGTCCACAGAGGGAGAGGTGTCAGGGCAGATGGTGGGCCTCTCGCACGAGGCCAGGCTTCCCTGTACAGCTTCTTCTGCCACCAGCAGCTCTAACACTCACATGCTATGGGGCGGCTGGACTTCTGTGTACTCACCATCTGCCAAGTTGTCTGAGTGCCAGAAGCTACTCATGTTAAACTCCAAAAGGAAGCTGTCAAAAGAGCAAGAACAGAGGATGCTTTTTCAGCAGCCTGGAAGGATACAGGTGTCAGGGAGATGACTCCGTTGCCTGGTGAGTATCAGTTCTAAAATGTTTACTATAAATTTGCTGGCAGTGGAAGTCTGAGGTTTTGGTTTTTTTAATTCTTTTTTCTTTCGTCTCCATGTGATGAGAGTGTAGCTCTCATCATGTGGAACAACTGAATGGGCTTTTACCTGAAGTGGATACTGTGTGGGGGCCTTGCCAGCGAAGGAAGGGCTGAGTACAGCAGCCCCCGAGGCCAAGAGGGGATTCAGTCACCGTGAGACCCACCTGAGGAGCAGGCATGGATGGCCAGCAGGCAGCCCATACTCTGGATACACAGAGGTAGCTGCACATCACATTGAATTATTCTGATTTACGCTCAAGCCCTAGGAGCCGGATCTTTTCCACATCTTGCCTCTTGCACACCCAGCAAGCTGAGCAGGAGCACTTTCATCCTAATTTGAACTTGAACTCCTATTCACCCCAGCAGTTTGAGGTGAGCCCAAATCTGGAGCTTGATTCACGGCCTCCGCTCTCTCCTCCACTGCCTGTCACTCAGACCCGGGCTCCCTGCCTGCCTGCCTTCAGCCTCTGCCCTCTGCGAAGTGAAGGTGTGCATTGGCTCATCACAGGCAAAGGAGACAGGCAAGAGGACTTCGCATCAAGGATCTGCACGCGGCCCCGGGAGACCCGAGTCCTATTTCTGACTCTGCCACTTTGTACTGAGTGACTTCAGGTAAATCCCAGACCCGCTCCGGGCCTCTGCCTCTCAAAATGGGAATAGTAATAGCTTTCTGTCTCCCAGGAGCAAGGCGCTGAGCTGAATGTCAGGAGAAGGCTGACAGCACTGCCCTATGTGGGGGCCTCCACTTGCAGCTTTCTCAGCTCTTGCCCCCGTTGGTCTGAGCCTCCCAAACACCCCCATCTTTTGGTACTTACATGAGGAAATCACTTATCAGCCATTTCACTGCAGCTAGAAAGGCATAAATTGGCTGGAGAACAAAAAAAGAAATGAGAAATACCATAAGGACCTGGTCAGAGAGTTTATAATTGTTACGCAGGACCCCACGTTTCAGACCAATTCCCTCCACTCATCAGAGCTCTTGAAGACAGGCTGGAAATTCAAGGTCTGAGCATCACTGGAAAATGTTCAAAATACATCAAAAGCCAGCGGAGCTGCCTTGCTACTAATAATATCTCCTCACCCCCTCCCCGTCAGGGTCAGGGAGTTTATCACAAATGTATGAAGGACATTGAAGATGTAATTGCTTGATGATTTCTCTCCAGTATGGATGACCTTGAGAGCTCAGAGCAGAAGAGAAACACAGCTAAATGGGACACCACCAGTTTAGGATGCTTTTATATTCTGATAGCAAGTGGTGTTTCTGGGACAAGCGACGGCATTGCCCAGGATTTAGTATTATCTGCCACTGACTGATTATGCTTAACCGTGCTTTCAGCCAGCTTTTCCTCAAGATGGCATGACTTCTATCATCTTCCTGCTTTTCAGCTACAAACTGGAAACCCAGCATTGTCCCAGGGACAATTCATCTGCAAATGATCCTGCTGCTTCTTTTCTTCATGGTAACCATGTCTAATTTTCATCTCTCCCTCTCATAATCATGCCCGTATCCTCAAACCCAAAACCGATGCAGCAGTCACAGGACACAAGATAATGTTCCATTACTGCTAACTGATGCACCTTCAGCCAAAATAAATCAGCAAACAGTAAAACATATAGATGGTTGGGAATTTCACCGATTTTTCCTTTGAACAATACAGGTGAAAAATGGACTTTTCTTGATTTCTTCCTTTTTGAGGGTTTTGTTAGGAGGCAAAAGGGAGAGATGAAGGCTGAATGCTCGCCTTTTTATTCTTTTCCCAGTTCACCTGGTTTTTGGTGGCTTGTGTTTTGTGACATTTCTTTCAGTAATCAAAATTCTTGAGGATACGACCAAGCAGGTATTTTCACTGCAATGACAATATCTTATCTATCCATCTTAAGTATAGCTATTGCCAAAATGTATATATTGTCAAAAATGTAACACATTATTAAAAAGAAATATTTTGTTGAAAATTCTTTTACTGGGAAAAAATGACCAAATTGTGCTGTAGGATGTACTTCCAGCACATCATATTTTAAATTATCGAAAAAACGACCATAACAGCAATAAACACATCCCTGTTTAGGGCTGCTTCAACTAGTTTGAAATGGCCTGAGCATTGAGTAATTACTTAGTTCTGCCTGTCTGAGGCCAGGTTAGGAAAGTAGAGTGGGATTAGATTATTAGCTTGTATCAGACTAAAGAGAGCTTGCATCTAGGTACTGGCAAGACTGTTCACTCTGAATGCTTCTTCCCTGGGCTAGCAGCGTTTCTCAGCAGCTCTGACCCCTCTCTCTGTTGCTCCAAGCCCACTCATGCTTCCCTGAGAAGCTGACAGCTTTCTCCCAGATGCTCTGTTCCCTGACAGCGTAACTCTCCTTTTTGAGCTTCTGAGTAAAACCATGCCTTGCAAAAGCATTTCTGTTCATTTCAGCTGCAAGCTGGTACCTCAGCTTTTAGGAGAAGACTGGCATAGTCTGGTTCCTGTCCCCTCCCCAGTCCTTCCGATTTTCAGTGAGATCCTATATAGCAGTGAAGAGCCGAATTGGAAACCACCGTCAGTGGCCATCACTGCCTCAGAAATCTGCCTTAGTGAGTCTGGACTTTCCTATCACTTGAAAGCAAACAGTCACTAAACTCTTTTAGGGAATGTGCTACATCAACGCATTGGAAACATCCTAGGAGAAGGCCTCCACAGCCAAGCCCAGAGAAGGCTGCGTGCGGAGGGATACGTACGCTGAGCAGAGGCCGGGCACCGCTGTGGTGGTGGTAGGGTACTTTGCACATGGCTTGATAATCATACATGGTCACCCTGCAATCAGCACAAAAGAAGCAAGCAGTCAAAAGCAAGCAATGCCACTGCCCGCGGGGGACACGCATCAGCTTTGTCTAAAGAGATGTCCTGTATGGTGGGACTAAAGCAGTGGCCTGCTTACACCGGTCTTTGCTGCTTGGCCAGAGCTGGCTCTTGCAAAGCGAGAAATACAGGCCCTGGATTGATGTAAATGGGTCAGTACAGGAGGAAATATGTCCCTAATTTCAGACGGTGAGTAAAGCAGGCTCTGAAGAGGAGAATTTTAATCCTATCTACCTCAGGTCCCCCTAGTTCCTGTTTTCAAGCCGCTGAAACTCTGAACTCTCTTTTGACATGGGCTGGGGGAGTGGAGTGAGACAAACAGAAGTGTTTTTAGAAGAGAGAGAAATGTGCTCAGCCAGCTGCAACGCCACATCTGGAGGAGCTCTCAGACAACTGCTCATAGAAAGGCCTTCCAAGTGGCAGGGGGAACTGCAGCACTTCATACCCAAAAGCCCAAAAAGTGTTTCCCATAGCATCTTGCCCTGGAAAAGACAGAGGAGCAGCTGCCTTCGGGCCACATGGAGACTGGGAGTTACTGTCTCTCTGGGTGCTTTGCAGCAGGCGGAAGAGCAGGAGATGAGGAGAAACAAGGGTGTGTGGTGACGATGACTGAGGGAGTCAGGGGAGGGGGCAGCTGGCTAAAGGAGCTCTTGTAGGAAAATAAGAGAGCTACATGCACCAGCACGTGCATTTTCCCCTGCTCAGTGCTGCTGCTTATGGGGCCCAATATGCTCTGACCCACGTACTGGCTGAAGAAAGTGAAGTACAGAGCGGAGATCCCCCACTTACCGCCTGAACATGCCCGTGTTTAGCAGCTGGGTCATTACGGAGCCATCCACTGCACCAAAAAATTTTCCAGTCTGCAAGCACAAGAAAGAAAAAAAAACAGAATAAATTGTCAACGGTAAAATTTCCAAATGTTTGATAGCTCCAGCCAATCCTGTCTCTCTGGAGGCCTCCTACACATAATGAGTGTTTTATAAGGAGGCAATGGCAAGGTTTGTCCTTTGGCTGGCTGGAAAGCTTGAGGGAGGACTTCCTCCATTGCCAGCTGGGCATCCTGCGTCGTTCCTACTGTGCTTGGAAATTATTTAGCCCACGTCAGTCCCTGCAGCTTGTGACAGAAAAAGGCAGACTCTCAAGATGCAGAGACCCGGGCATGTTGGTTCACTGGAAGCCTGGCTCCCCTAGGGTTTTTGTGAATCCATGTTCTCTGGATGTGCACGCCTGAGCCTCTTGAGCCTCTCTGCTACCCGTGGCTGCAGTGGCTTTGGAAACCTCTGCTCTCCTGCTGCCCTAGGCCAACTGACACCCCATGTGTAAGTATGCCATACAGATTTAGTTTAAATACGCCATACAGATCTATTTAGGTAGCAAACACAATTTTACAACTCACTGCTGTGCAAGTTCCGAGCAAGCAGTAACCCAAACAACACAACACAAACCAGTCCCTCCCTTTAGCTTACACACTATGCTCTGGCACAGCCACAGCTCTCTGCATTTGGGGGGCAACAATCCCTAAATACCACTTGCTTGCCTGGACTAAAAGCAGAGCTTGTGGCCCTCTGGTCCCACTTATGTTTTGGAGTCAATGACCTCAAATACAGTCCCAATACCAAATCCAGGAACTGCTGCTCAAAAGACTTCTTCAAACAAACAACAGTCCTGGCTTTCCTGGTTACTAAACCATGACAAATCGATTGCAAAATGCTTCAAATCTGCCAACTCCACTGCTTTGTTTGCAAGCAAGTAAATAAAACACTTGTAAATGATAAAAACGCAGATATGAGATGTACTCCATCTATTTTCTTGGTCCATGGGTCTTGACACTGTAAATAGCTCCTGTATATTATAGAATCATAGAACAGTTTGGGTTGGAAGGGACCTTTAAAGGTCATCTAGTCCAAGCCCCCTGCAGTGAGCAAGGACATCTTCAACAAGATGGAGCAGCTATGGAACCGTTCATGCAGTCGGGGTGGGGGGGGGGCATTTTACTTTTCCACTGATAGGCTACCAGTTGTTTAGCACATATTAGCAGATGACAGCTGACTTCATTTATGTGAGTGGGGCATTTCCACTTAAAAAAAACCCCAAACCCTTAGGCAGATTTACCTAAGATCATATGGTAATCATCTCACAGTAGTGTTACATGGTTATGAGCCTCTTCCCAACAGGCTTTAGCAGCCATTTCACTGTATAAGTTGATACACAACATCAGCTCTTCTTTGAGCATTTAGGCTGTAATGATCTCAGACATAGCCCAACGTGTCTGAGCGAGCACTAAGTTTTTTCACCTCCCTCGCTCTTTCAATCTGGTTAGGGTGGTGAGGAGGCCAGCTGCTTCCATTTAATACCAGTCTGCAGCTCCATCAGGATTTAATGCAGGGCAAGTGGCAATCAATGTGGCAAGGGCAGGAGGCCACTGCAGGACTATAAATGGGGCCCACCCTGTCCAGAGATGCTGCTGTCTGACCAAATTTCTCCAGGTAGGATGTCGTTCCTATAGGTACAAGTGTGAGGAGCTATTAGTGGAATTGAGAGTAAGACCCAGGTAATGCATCCAGAAAAGCATCAGCAAACTGGCCTTCAACACTGAATCAGACATTCAAAGCTCAGTGCTGTTTTAGGCGCCCTGTCCTACTACCTGGAGTGACACAGGAAAGCATCACTTGGCAGAAACCAAGGCGGTCCTGTACTGAAATGACATTTTCCAAAGCAGCTCTCATTACAACCTGCCTCCTCCAGTGACTGGCTGCTGCTCTTCCAGACGTCCCTCTGCTGTGTTTCTCCTGACTCCCAGCTCTGGGCACGTTTCCACAGGCCCTTGCAATTTCAGAGGTTCACAGCACAAAGCATTGCCTCTAACATGTTGTACCACATCCCCCTGCAGCTGAGCGTGCACAGCAAGTGCACATGCAGGCTATGCACAGGAAAGAGATGCATCTGGAAGAACACATATAGCTTGCAAGGTACACGGCTGCTCACAGACATACATTTGTCCGTGCTTTGCTGGCTCGTTGAGCAATCTGTGCTTTTGGTACACACAAAGGCTGTAGACAAATGGGATCTGCCAAATGCTCCAGGCTTTGTGTGAGCGGGCAGGCTCCTCGCTGCATGGCTCAAAGCCAGACCTTACTTCTCCACAAGCTCTGCCCAGCCCTGGTGGAACCTCGGCCTCTGAGCTGCCCCCTTGCACCCTGTCCCTGGAGTCCCGACTGGGCAGAACTTGTGGATATACCCTGCAAGATGCCTCAGGGAGAAGGCAGCAGTGCTAGACAACGAGGTTTAGCCAGCCCAGCCAGGGGACATCTGGATGCAGCAGGCGGAGGGACCTCCAGACCTGTGACCTGCAGCTGTGCCTCTGGCTGGCAGCGAAAGGCAGCCAAACACTCGGGGCGGTGGTGGGGCCACGGCTGCAGACATTGGCAGAAACATAGCACCATAGCACGGAGCAGCTCTCGCTGCAGCATAGCCTGGGCCTGTGGCTTACTTTCCCTTCCTCCCCTGCCCTAGATTGCCTGGTCCTCTCCCTCACCCACTCCCTCCTCCTGGCTCTGGCTATTAACTGTTTGCCCCCTCCGTGATGAGTCTGGATGGGGGGATTAGCCTGAATTAAGAGATTACCCATTCTTCCCCAAGTAATCCTGCAGGGAGCTTCCAACACATCACTCTTTAAAATTCTGAGTCCCTCTTTCTTCCACAGTGGCTTCTGGCTGCCAGTAAGCTTCCTGCCGCCTTCAGGCAGAGGTTATTAGAGCTGATCCCCCCGCCTGACCCCCCATCCCAGGGGCAGAGGGGAGCCCGAGCCTGAGCCAGGATGTCCTCACCCCATTCATGTGTGAAGCCGCTCTGGTGTGGTCACTCAGCGAAGGTGGTGAGGGCATCAGACAGCCCCGGGCAGGCAGCAGGTTGAGCACACTGTAAAGCACCACAGCCCCCAGGGAGCGAGCAGAGAAACAGAGCAAAACATCTCGGAGCCCCCAGAGCAGGTCTCCAGTGCCAGCTGCTCGTCCGGGGGCTATAAGGACACTTTGGCACTTTGGCACCTCTCCACCATTCTTAGCTTTCACCTCGCCCCGGGAAGCAGGCATTTTGGATGTGCAAGCTCCTTGGCTGCCTTCCTCGGGTAAGCAGGGACGTGCGCGGGGCCCTGCTCCTGTCTCAGCAGGGCAGATGGCTGACCCACACGCACCCTCGCTCCTTCAGCATCCAGTCAGCTCCCTCCCGTCCCGGGCAGTGGGGCAGAACAGGCAGCGTGTGGGCAGGCTGCCCTTCTCGCCGCTGCAGGACTGGAACACTGACCTAGGCAGCTGAGCCACTCTTGCTCGTATGAGGCAAGGAGGGAGGGTAGTGAACAAGCTGACTTCTCCAGAAAGGCAGAAACGCCACAAAAATCCAAGTTCAGGGTTTTTTTGGTTTGGTTTTTTTTTGCATTATTTTAAAGGATGCACTGAGGGAAGAGTGTAGGATGGGGCAGAGAAGGCCACACAGCAGCAAGTGATCCCACGCAGCAACATTCAGGTAGCAAGGCTATGAAACCCAGAGCATTTATTTAACGCTGCTGCTGTCTTGAATTCCCTGTAGTAGGCTTTAACAGTGTGGACACTCATGGTGCCACTGGGAAATAAAAGCATTAACTGGAACAAGATAAAGAAATCACAAGAAAAGTAGTGGTGAACTCTCCAAGGTCAGGGGAGGTAACAGCTGGAGGAGATGACAGCTCTGGTGCCTGCCAAAATGCCTGATCTCAGAGGCATGTGGATAATGTTTATAATTTACCCAAATCCACTATAATGCCACGTTTCTGCTAGTCAGATCTTTCAGCTACGAGTTTTTTGAAAAACCCATTTCCCATGCAGGAAAAATATAGAGACAGAACCCAGGAGGGTGGTGCTGAGAATGAACAGCTGACATGGTAGCTAAAGGGTATAGTTGCCTTTATCTATGGACATGGTCCACGCCACAGGACTCAGTAAAGCACCTTTAAAAATGCATGGGGGTCAGAGGAGGAAACAGTGGCTCCCAAGACTACCAGCCCATCCCAAACACGCAGGAGGACCTGGCCTCCTAGAGCAGGGAGCCAACACAACTTTACAGCGTCTTCCTCCCTTGTTTTTCAAGCTTTCTTTTTTATTCTGGCACATCATGTCATTGAAGGGGCACTTTCACTGGAATACTCAGTGCATCAGGTCGGTCACTTTCCCAAGAGAAAAGAGGTTGGTTATTCCTCACAACATGCCCCCCTTGTCTGCATCGTCCCCTGGTGCCACTATGTTGCTGATTCATTTTGCTTTGTGAGTCTCAACAGTTCTCATCTTGGCCTCTCTGGACTTGCTGTGTAGTGCCTACAGAATTCATGATCTCACCTTCCTCTTTTGCCAGCCTCTTCTGAATATGCTAAGCAACACAGGTCCAGATGGCAAACCATGGGACTTACACAGCTGATGTCTTCCATCTAAATACCCATCTAAAAATTCCTCTTCTTTCTTTTCTGTCCCAGCTACTTTGAGATCAATGCCACTACTTCACGCTTCACTCTTTAACCAGAACTTCTTTAACAGTCTCTTGTAAGGGACACTCTTCAAGGCTTTTAGAAAAACTGAAATGCAGTAGGCCATCCATTCTCCTTTATCTCCTGGTTTACACTTTCAGAGAACTATAGCTGATAAGATAGGTTTTCTTCCTTTATAGAAGCTGTGTCCTAATCACATCCATCAGGTGTCCTGTTACTTTAATTTCCATTTCAACGTTTGACATGTCTTGAAGAAAGTAATTTCTGGGATCCGATCTACTGCCTTTTGTAAACACGCACACAGTACTTGTTAGCTCCAGTGCTACGCCCCTTTTAATGAAACTCCACGCTTCCATCAGTAACAAAACCGCTCCGTTTTTCATTTCTTCTGTAAGCCCACTCTTACTATTTACTTATTGCTTTGTAGTTTATGAGACTGTTCCAACACCTCACTTTCTGACATCCAAATCTATGGCCTTTCATTATTTTGAAACAAACAGCTCTGTGGTGAATTTACCAGAGAGCAGAAAAGGATAGCTAAACCACGCAGTGGCTGGTGGCGCTGACTTTACCCAGGCTGCGCGGGATGTCACACCACAAACTGTGCCCCTTCAGCTCCCTAGAAATGGTCATGGAGGTGTTGGCAGCAGGAGGAAAGGAAGCAACTTTTGTTGCTTATATTTTTATTACTATTCTGAGTCTTTTTCCTTACTTCTTTCATCTCTGTGAGTCCAGTAAATCTTCCAGTTCTTCAGGTGTGCTCCTGTTCCCCATTTGCTTAAACGATTTCATCTTCATTTTGCTCTTACCATCCCCTCAGCTTCCTTTCCTGAAGAATGCCTGCTTTGACTTCAGAAGCATTCAAAAGCACTGCTCCTTTCCTTTCCTTCCCCTTCCCTTCCCCTGCCAGGGCACACCTGCCTTCTGGGACTGCCTCAGATCATCTTTCAGTAGCATCTGCACCGAGGGAAAGGAGGCTAATTTCCTCACTTCTGGTAAAAAGATATTTTGACTAGTTCCTTCTTATCACTGCAAACTCCTTCCTTACACAGGATGTGCTGTCACTCTGCCGGGAGGCCTCCCCCTCACTACACATCTGAATTTAATTACGCCGCAGCCACTCTTATTACAGAATTGAACTTCATTTGTTTTAACCAGCTCTGGTGGGTTACTCAGGAACAAGCCAAGCACACTCTCCTCCTTCTTTCATGCTCTCTTACCTCTGCAGGTCTTTTGGAAATGAGTATAAAGCCATTGTTATCAATGAGGAAGCAATTCAGAATCTGCAGAGATGAAAGAAGCAACATTAAAGACAGCTTTTTCCACAGTTGTCTGGTGTGTAATGCTGTGTGCAGGATGGACGGCGTGGGCTTGCGCTTATGGGCACAGCCCCAGCATTTCCATGCCTAGCCCCACGGCTCAGCTCCTACAGGTTTTACACAATTGACTTTTCGCTCTCTGCCTTTTGAGGTACCTACTTTGGGAGCCGTCTGTGACAGAGGTTGTCTCTCGCCAGGGCTGTGTGCAGGCCTGGCAGGCTCTGAGCCACATTCAAGCAGGCAAGGCATCCTGCAGGAAGCGACAGGATTTTTGGGGAGCACCTCTCGTTAATAAAATGGTGTCTAACGCTTTCCATCTTCAGATTTCAGAGTTTTTGTAACCACTCATGCAATAACCCTCTCCTCACCGATGTGCATCATCAGTGCTGGCCTCACTTTTGTTTTGCAGAGCAGGAAATGGAGGCATAGAGTTTAGATGAAAACCTTTAAGTCTCACAGGGGAAAACTAGGATGCAGAGGAAATCCTGCATGAACACAGAGGGAAAATTCTCTGGTGATCCCACTCTCCAGAGCAGAGCAGCTCATGTCCCGAATACGCTTGAGACGAAGGTTGAAGCACTGGCGTAAATGCAAAGAGGGGTGTCCAGCACACTTGTCACGTAAATAGCCACTCTCTCTGGGAGACCTGGGTTGCCAGTGCGACAGCCTTAGAGGAGATGGAGTCTCCTCAGAGTCACTGGCTGGAACCCTCATGCCTCAGCCCAGGCTCAGCAGACATCTCACAGCTGGGTGAAAGGCCTAAAATGCAGGTTTGTCTCAACAATGTGAGGTCCGCCCCAGCTGGGCAACCTCCTGTGAGGGGATGATAGGCAATACCTTTTTTTGGGGAGAGACAGAGATCTCCACAGAGCAGGCACTCAATCACACCCATCACAGAAGAAATCTGGGCAACTTACGTCATCCTGACAGCTTAGTGGACAGGCACCGTCCAAGGCACTGCACTAGAAAGGAAAAACAGGGAATTCACCACTGCGTGACCTCATCTTACAGCCTGCCCCTGGGGACTGCTAAGCTAAAGGTCTCCATACCAGCACCCCACAAAGCTCGGCAAGATAGCTGGACATTTCCACCAAGCTGAGCTCTACGGTGTGCACAGGTCCCACCCCCCAGGCTGGCCACTCGCTGGCTCTGTGAACTCCCCACCTCTCTGAGCAGCATCCCCTTTGCCGAGGGCTCCAGTCCTGGACCTGCCTCCCTGATGTGCTTCCCATGCACTTCGACCTGAGCTGGCACTTGGGAACAAAGCGGGCAGCATCAAGCTCTGCCTGTGGAAGCACAGGCTGTTGCACACCAGTGAGACACCAGCACGCATTTCAGCATCTGGTAGTGTCTGCTCTAAACACCCAGCATGGTGTTTTAGATCAGGATTCTTCTCAGGCAGGGATTTTGTTGTTGTTGCTGCTGCTGTTGGTTTCTTTATTCTCCAGACAGCGAATGATAAAATCGGATGTGAATGGTGCTCGTGTAGCCCAAGGCACCATCCATTTGTTTCATTTAGGATTACTCTGTCCCAGACTTGACATGTGTTTTGCAACACTGAACTGGGTGGGCACACGAGGGGTTAAGTGGTGAGTAACCAAGCCCTTCAGGTGCTTATTGATTTCATAATTGTTCTGAGTTTGCTGTGGCTGCGTGTGTCTGTCTCTGTGTGTTATGTTTGAAAGCTATTTTCTCTAGCAGCAGAGGGAAAAAAGCTGGATGGTGTTGCCATTTCTGTACATGGGGTCCCCTTCCTGCCAGAGGTTTTCTGGGGTCAGGGAAGGATGTTGCTGTGTTGTGTAGCCTGTCTGCTCTCAGCCAGCTGCCCTTTATTTCTGCAAAACTCTTACACATAAACCCCAGACCCCTTTCTGGATGATTCTCAGTAACAAGAGGTGAATTTGACATTTCATATCACAACAAGACCATTACTTTCAGTTAGAATTTGTTTCTCCTCTTGAGTTTTGCAGAACAAAACCAATAGTTTCAGGTTTCCATCCCTCCACTCAGCTTCAGGGGAGGCTCAGAGATGCCTGATTTTGTTTCAAGCCCTGTGGCTTTGCAATCTTGCGTGTTCATGCTCCAATGCTGACTGGCTTTTTGAGGCTCTAGGGATGATGGTTTAAAAACATCCCTTTACCCACAGTTGCAAGCATCATTTCACTCTTGTCTCACCACAAAAGAGTATCAGGTTGTTTTGTCTCCCTGGATGTGTGCTTAGACGTGGCCCTGTAACTTCATCCCTAATGGTTTCCTTCCTTTGGTCAGCACAGAAATTTGGCCACAACAAACCACTGTTATGGCCTTGGAGGATAACAAAAACAGAGCCCAGAGCTTGGAAATCAGAACAGAAACCCAGCTGAACCAGAGTGGTTTCCCACAAGAAGGGCCCATGACTCACAGCATCTTCCTCAGCAGTGTGAGGATCGAGTCTCACCGCCACCACTCTTCCAGATCTGGAGAAGCTCCAGCAGTGCCCAGTGCTGGGCTGGCCACGCAGCAGTGGGACCGCGGCGAGGAGCCCAATCTGAAGCACCGGCAGCTTGCAAGGAGCCCCTGGGGAAGAGCTGAACCTGGGCTCCCTGGTTGCTCTGAGACCACATCTACTGCCTGATGGGCACAGCTTCCTCCTCCGAGACCAGCCTACCTCACAGCATCCTCCTGCTGTTGGTCAGGTCTCCGAAACTGCTGTGACCCAGAGCACTTTCAGCTTTGCCAAAGACACTTAATTACTGTGAAGACAAACACAGCCTATGACAGGCTTGGATTGTCTCCAGTGACGACAGACAGGGGACAGTGTATAATATGCTGGCACACAAACGACACAGTTACGAAGCCGCGCTGTGGCGAGGCACGCCGGGATGCCTCCCCATCCCCAGCTTTTGTCTACTTACATCACTGTCATTGGGCTGGGAGACGGGAGGCACAGCGTGGACATCCAGAGCGGCACAGCGTGCGGTGAAGTGAGAGAGAGAGAGATAAAACAAATCTGTTAGTCATTCCTCTGTCAAACAGCGGTCACATCCTGGGAAACCATATGCAGGTTTTTTTTATACCAGCACCTCTGAGGGCTGTGGTACGCAGGCACTTCGCACACAGGCCTCCTTTCAGCTTCTTTAACAAGCCTTCCTGGTTTCACTTAAGGCCCATGTGGGCTTAGTTTGTGTTAGAACTGCCTGGGTATGGCCCTCAGGAGATTTTCTTAAAATGAAGCTCTCTGCTGATGTTTCAGGATGTGCTCACGTGCTTTGCAGAAGTCTTTTTAGCTCAGGTTAGGTTTACCTGATCTTCCGCCTGCGAGGATGCTCCTGCCACCATGGCCAACTCTGGGCTTTTCTGTTCCCCACGTGTCCTCGCTCTCAGTGAGCAGGCTCCTGCCCTCCCCTCTTCTCTATCCTCGCTGACTGATGACAGTCCCCTCTCCTGACAGCAGAGAGCCACTTCTGCTGGGTGCTTGTTCGGTCCCCTTTCCCCAGACGGAAAGCCTGGGGGAAAAGCCCCTGGGTGGTAAGGGAAAGGTGTTTCACTTTTCTTGCCTCTCAGTCCAGGGGGCTGTTGTAATTATTCCACTTCTCAGTCCAGCAAGTGTCCAAAATCAGGACAGCACTGAAGGCTTATTCCCAGAGCAAATAATTTTTATTTTGGTAAGCTAGCAACGTTTTGTTACCATTATCAAGATGATAAGGGAGGGCACTAGATTTTTTTTTTTTCCCGATGTACCCAGAATTGCAGATTTCTATGAGGTTTCTGAAAGGCTGAATGAGCACAAAACATATTTCCACAATTAAATGTCTCATATGCAGCAGAGCTAATGCCAGGCCAGGATGCTGACACTGTCAACATGGCATTTGCGGAACAGACTCACAGCTCACGCAGCATTAGTGCTGGCAAAGGATTACAGAAATGTGTGACTTCAAACTAATCTACTTCGTAAATCTTTTAATATGAATTTCACAAAAGCCCTCATCAAAATGGCATCGTATGTGATGTTCCATAGCATCAACCTAGCCGATGAAGAGCATGAAATTGTCTCTCTGCACAATTGCTGATGCTCCTACCTGTTGCGTGGCCATCCAAAACTTGCGTTGGAGCAACTCCAGCTTAATCTGCACACCCACCGCTATGGGAAACAAAAAGGGGGGAGGACGAAAAGAGGAATGTGCAAGAGAGAGAAAGACAAACACAAGTTAGGAAAGGAGGGGTAAATACTCCCCCGAAGCGATGGGATGGAAATCGCATACGCAGCCTGCTTCCAAGTGTGGATGATGAGCACTGGGGAATCAGCGCCGAGTCAGACTGCCAAGCCAGAGTCAGAGGTCTAACAAGGTAGAGGAAAAGGGGACACTGACTGCTGTACCGAGGTCCTGACACCTCCCTCCCACTAAACACTCTGGAGCTACAAACAAACTAACAAAAAAAAAAAAAATCCCACAAAAAAAACCAAACCAACCCAACAGGAGAGCGAGCACGTGAGCTTTCATCTTTATCTTTTGTAGATTTGCCTGGCCAGAACAGAGGTATCTGACCACCCCAGCCTCAACTCCTGCACCGCACAGCACCAACCAGAAATAAAGAAGGGCAGTCTGAGGAAGGGGTTCATTTGAAAACCCCACCTGGGAGCCCACACTGATTTAGATCGCTCCTAAGCCACTACAAAAGCACAAAAACACGAAAGCCACCTGATGGAAAAGTGTCAATTAGAAGTAGCGCTTCGTTACCCGGTCCCAGCCGAGTGCACGCTCCGCTAAGCAAAAGTGTGTGTTTCTTAATGAAGTGTGTCCTAATTTCTTGGCTTAATTTCTTTTCTATTCCCAGCATCATGTTCCTGAAGTAAAGCATAGCTCCACAGGAGAAGAGATGGTGCAGGGGCTCCCTGGCAGAATAACCCAGCTGTCCCTGGGTAGGCTGCCTACAAGCACACGTAATAACCAGCGCAGTCGTGCACAGCCTGGCACGGTGACGGGGAACAACGGGGCTGTGTGTCAACTAGTTGAAACCAAGAGCTCTGCAGGAATTACAGCCTCAAGCAGGACCTTGAAATAGAATATAAAGTGCAAGTGAGGGAGAAAAAGTACAGAGAAGGAGAGTTTGAGCCTTTTTTCACAACCACCAATATCAGGCAGATGAAGTGCTGTTTCTACAGATTTCCTCTGAATTAGCAGGCGCTTCAAAGGGGGGAGAACAGATCCTTTAGATTTGAATCATGCTGTGTGGGTGCTTTTAAGCTAACAGTATGATCTGATGCTCCAATTCAGATGGATATGAATTAAAACCTGAGTATACAATGGCATATTTTCTTGCAGCATGTACAGAGACCCTGGCACCTGACATCAGCTCTGCCTCTTTTACCAGCGTCCTTCTTATCACATTCCCACTGCTGGCACATCTCACAAAATCCCATTCACAGGTGCATTTCTTCTCTAGCTCTCCCTGCTGTAGACTGACTCTGCCTGCCTGTACGTGGGGGAAAGGAATGATTTTGCAGAGCTGCCTTGCCCTAAGCTTCACAGAGCACAAAACCGTGTAAAAGAATGCAAACAGAGGAGAAAGGACAGGGCTGAGTCCAGCCCAGGTGAAGATTCAGGGGCTTCAGTGGGGCTATCGCAGGCACAGCTTGGCTTGGTGCCCCTGCTGACAAATCGGCAGTCCACGAGAAGGCAAACGGTGCTGCTGAGTCTGATGAGGCCCACATGTCCGATCTGACATGTAGCTTTAAATAAATTCATCGTTATTCTTTAAAACCATCTCAAGAAAGAGTATATTCCCCTTACTGCAGCAGATCACACCAATAGGACTGAGCATCACCCAGGACACACAGTTTTTAAGAGACTTGTAAAGGAGCTGATACCTACGTAACTAACCTTGCAATGCAGACACTTGAGCGGCTCGTGGTTTTGCCAGCAGGAACATCTATCCTCAAATTGTCCTTCAAAGGGAGCTCAGTCCCTGCTTGTGAATCCTTGCCTCTGCCCAGGAGGCACGAGTAGCATGTACTGAGCTTGGACAGAGTTCACTGCAACTTGAGGAAGGAGAGTACCGGGGGGCTTGCACTGGTGGCCGGTGGCAGGAACAGAAAGTAGAGCCTCCCAGCTCTCTCCTTCCTCTTTCCACATCACTCACAGTCACGTCTAAGCCGTCTGTGCCATCTGTCACCAAGTCGTGTCCTTCAGATGCAAGCTTTGCAGCCTTAACCTCTCCACGGGGCTTGCGCTTACTCATCTTCTCTGCACCAGCCCTTTCTTTCCTTCCCAGCAGTCCGGCACACATCTCTGGCTGCTCCCCATGGAGCTGCGCTGAGCACCACTCACCCTCGCATCACAGCAGTCTGAAGAGGTCACTGAAAGGAAAGCTGGGGGCTATTCTGCATTCAGGTGAGCTGAGTAAGACATGGGAGCTGAGGAGAAACAGGCCACAAACACCCTCCCAGCACCTCCCAGGTGCCTTTAAGCTGTTGGTGAGGATGGGTGGAAAGGAGGAAAGCAGTGACTCAGTCTGAGGTAACGATGATGATGCTACAGCTCAGGTGAGAGGGAGAAACCCAGCACAAACCCCCTCTGCTTGTTCCAAAGTATAACTGATCAGATTGGTCTGGTGGCACAGAGCATGCTGCAGGAGCGGGAAGACCCGAGGTCCGTGAAGTGACGAGTGGCTCTGGTGTGCAGCACAGCACCAACCGTAGAGTCCTTGGAGAGACAACAGCTAACAGTTTTATTCCTGCTAACGTGCAAACAACCTGTGCAACTGCAGCATCCCAGCAACGAAATAAAACACGAGGACGAGCAACGCTGCACACCTTGCCCGGTTAAGATGTTGCTTCACCACGTTGACGAGCTGCCCAGTTGCAGGCCTCCCCCCCGGCCGGCACCCTGCCTGCAAACCCAAGCGGTGCTGGCTGCGTGGCTGGAGTCGCCTGCTGCCGCTCCTCGTGGAGATGAGAGCTTTGCCCTCCACCTGTTCATTCCTCCGTTGAGCATGTTTGCCTCATTAGCTCATCCTCTGCTCGTCTCTCTTTCTGCCTGCCCTCCCCGGCTTCTCTCTTTGATTATCCATATGCTGTTTTCATAAGCAGCTTTCCCCAAGATTTAATTCTCGGGCCCGCCGCACAACAAAAAGGCATAACAAAGAGTTGCAAGATTATATCCTGCTTATCAAGATGCACCTTGCCATTCAAAACCTGTTTTCATGGCTGCTGGTTCGATGGTTAAATAAAAACCTGCGATTCAAATGGGAGAACGTACCAGAGCAGCAGGCCAGCCCTGCCCGTACTGTCCATTTGCATTCCCCATTCCCTATATCTGAAATATTCCCATTTTCCCTCTCAACCCAGCAGTGGAGCTGTACCACTCAAAATTTTACTTGAAGTCCACTAAAAGTTTTACTTCAAAAATAAATTCCAGGCAAGTGAAAAAGAACAAAAAGACCAAACCAAGGGCAGGCTGCCTATGCTACTGGACCTGACAGAAGAGGCAGTTCAAGAGCATCAGCACAACATTAATTCTTGCAAACGTGGCTACCGAGACCCTCAGCAAGCTGGAGGCAGGCAAACGGGTGGCGTGATTCTGCGGGGGCTCGCGCGAGAGCAGAGGGAAGCCCGCCGGAGGCAGCGGGCTGGCTTCGGGTGCTGCCCTGGAGCAGCAGGCTGTGCTGGGGAGGGCAGGGGATGCCTCTGTCACTGCATGGACCACCTGCACCCGACCCGTGGGCTGGACACGCGGCTGGGCACGCTCACCCCCCGCACACCGAATCCCGGGGAGCAAACCGCGGGTGCAAACGCTCCTTTCCCTCACCCGTTCCCCCCATCCCACTACCTCCTGCCAGCACTCCTGAGTTTTCCCCGGGTCCCCAAGGAAGATGAGGCCAGGTCATGCTGCGTCGGAGCGGGAAAGCGTGACAGCAGCAGGCGTGCTCAGCCACTCTGGGGCAGGACACAGCCAGCCCGCTGTAGGCACCTCTCGCTTAAGTCCCAACGTCAGACATGCTGCCTCCCCCTGCTGTCTCTGGAGCACTGGTGGGAAGTGGGTGCCTTGCCCCCAAGCCCCCCGGTTTCTTCCCCGCTGCCTCTCCTTTGCCGCAGCCGC